CATCGAAGTTGGTGCGGGCTGCTGGGGATTGGCGTCTGCTGACCCATTGGTTGACCGGAAGTGCGTAGTAGTAGATCAACCACTGCATGCTTCTCACTTTCGTGTTTTTGATGGACAGTGGAACTTTCCAGGTTATTGTGGTGTGGCTTCCCATTCCGTTGGTGACGTGCTTTTCCCAGCGATGTGCTAGTATCTGCCGTGTGTTAACCGAACGTCTTCTCAGTCTGTAGCCCAGCCTTGTAGTATAGTCTAGGATGTTGGTACGGCGAGCTGCCATTGAAATGATGGAAAATGTTTTCCAGGCCCATTCTGCCGGGTCGAACTCCAGGTCTTTGTATAGTCGTTGTAGGGGCGTAAATTTTGTATTGTTCATCTTCAATCACTCGCACTTTCCTGAGTAGATGTGGTTTAGCCGACACCCTTGCGCGGATGACTTGGGAGACCGTGCTCACTGTACGGCCTGGTTGTTGAATGTCGTGCATTGTCCACAGCTCCCAGTGACCTGAGGGTCCTTCCTTTCTGACGAAGGACATCACCTCTGTTGGGGGTTCCTCCCCGGTCCAGGTCGCCCAGTCCCCCTTCTTCCATTCAGCAGGTCCTTGAAGCAGCTGTAGCCATTCCTAGGGAACTGATGTCAGCATGTCATTGAAGTTTATCTGCAGAGAGTGGCATCCCTTGAGCGCCTCTCTGAGTTCTGATAGTGTTTTCCATCTGTTGAAATGGTGATTCCAAAGATGTTTGATCTGCCACACTCCATGTTCCAACCAGGTGGTCCATGGTTTGCCTGTCTGATCCTCCATCCATTGGTTGCAAAAGAGGGGCTGGTGTAACACCTCTTCTCTGTTTGCTGGTTCTCGGATCTTGGCCGGAAAATCTCCCTCCATGACTTGATGAGGTACATCCAGTAGTCCTGGTTGTTCCTCTGTTCTTGTTGCTGCAGATGTTCCTGTTGAGGGGGTCCCTGTTGTCTGGGGGTCCCGCGGCGAGCCGCCCAATATTTGGCCATCAGCCAGACAAGTCCTTGCATGTTCGGTGTAGTACTGACCACCAGTAGCTGCCTGATGCGGTCCAGGGCTAGGGTGACCGAAGGCAGGTCAGCTTAGGTGAGCAGCTTGACCACCCACTTGGTCTGCAGAGCTTTCATCTGCGTGGCGGGGTCCAATAAACCCAGTCCTCCGCTGTCCTTTGGTTGGATGAGGTGAGACATGCCACTTTTGCTATGTAGTTTGTTCTAGATGGGTTACCTGTCGACAAGAAGGCCGTTGCCCGTTTCTTGAGGGTTCCAGCCGTGTGCGTTGTTGGGGATGTCCATGTGTCCAGTTCCCGCAGCATCTTAGTAAGGATTTCTGGAGCCACCTCATGATCAGGGCCTGCATTAGTGAGTTTTATCCCCAAATAACGAACCTGAGTTTTTGGGTCCTGCCATGCGAAACTTGTTTGGGTATGAGCACCAATTAGAACCTTCCCTTCCCCTACGATACCTTCGCATGTTTTGATCGGGGGCTTCATTAGAATTGGGACCAGGAACACTTCTCTTCACTGACGACATCACAGTCCTGAGAAGAGCCTCAGATTCCTCCTTCCAGGCCTTGGTTGGAGCGATCGATGCCTTCCGCATAGCATCAGAAATGAAGATTAGTTGGCATAAAACAATGGGATGGTGGCTCGCTGAACCCACCCACCACGCACACACCAACAGACACCCACCAGGGCCTGCAAAGGCAGAACCGGAATCAGCTCCTACGATACCTTGGCAGCAAGATCACGACCGACGGGCCCTCCCACTCCATGGCGCCGGAGCTTTTGACCAAAATGCTGCACAAGATGGAAGACTGGTCAGGGATCTACACCTCTCTGTATGGCAGGGTACTGGTGCTAAACGCCTCCATTGTTTCTATGCTCTGGTACATAGCCACTGTCTGATCCTTGCCAGACACGACGACACAAGAGCTTCGATCAAGAGCTGCCGCATACCTGTGGACAGGCAATCCGTCCTCTGAACTCTGAATCCCCAAGGGTTGCCTGGAAATACATTGTGATGGACAAGAAAGCCGGTGGCCTGGGAGTCCTGGACCCAGCTTTACAGGTCAAGACACTGCAGATAAAATGGATGGTGAAAATACTCCTGGACCGCCGTCTGCCGTGGACTTCACTGGCTCTTGCCGCCATTCGGAAACTGCCTAAATATAGAGCGCCCCCGAATATGCAGGGACTGGATTGGATCATGGCTAAACCCTGGGCACGGCATACACGCAACACAGGCCCAGAACAAGACTGGAACCACCTCATCAGCGTGTGGCACGCCACCCATCCCCTGCGGATACACTGGCTGGCCACCCGAGAGCAGGTCCTCCGTCAGCCGCTATTCTTCAACCAAGCCCTCAAAGGCTTGGCCTGCCGGCCCTGGACTCTAACCGCGCCCGACACTCGATGGGGAATGTGGTTGGAGAAGGGAGTCTGGCAGATTAAACACATCTGGAACGAAGCACACGCCCGCTGGAAAAGACCAACCGAGCTCAATGGTTGCCAGCGGGCGACTTCAACCTGCAGCTCAAGGGTTGCCACAACCTTGAAGAGAATCTAGAAGAGCTTATTGCCTCGATCCCCCTGGCTTGGCTAGCGCTGTCGAGGAAGGCCCTGAGCTGGCAAGCCCGGAACTGGGCCACTTGGATATCTGAGCCCACCCCCATGACAGCGCTGGCCTTTGTCTCTTTTGAGGGCCCTGCGGGAAGTTGGTGTAGGATGACGACATCCGATATTCGAACACCCCGGCGCCACCCTCAGCCCCATCCGGAAGTCGACCGCGGTCCAACTTTCTGTCTGACCGCACCTGCTTAAGAAGGTGCGAGTGATAGAAATGCCGGACCTCCACACGAACCCCGCATCTTTTAGCCGGCCACTCCCATACAGGACCTCAAATTCGACCCGGCGGAGTGGGGATGGAGAACTCGATGCACTTGGAACATCACACAATGCACAACACGGCTCAACTACCGGCTGCTGAGAAGAGAGCAGAACGTGACAACTACCTTGAACCTTCATTGGCAGGTCCGTCTACAGACATCCCTCCCTGCTTCGCCCTAATCCCTCTGGCAGATTATGGCTGCCATGCGGAACCCGCGTCTCTTCTCTGTCCAATGGCTGATACTCTATCTGGCGCTACCGGTCAACGAAAGTTCGAGTCGACGCCGTCGAGCGAGCTCTGTACCCTGTGCGCAGCAGGACGGATAGAGGATGTGGGCCACTGCCTGCTTTTCTGCCGCAATGCAACAACCTTTTGGGCGGATGTATCCACATTCTGGGAGTCGGTCACCGGAAAGGCTGCTCCCACTGAGACCGTCTCCAGACTGACCGGCCTGAGACTCCCACCCGGCATCTAAAGCTGGGAGCGCAAACTGTTCCAACGCCTGCGGCTGCATGCGCTGTGGTTCATTTGGCGGAGGCGATACCAACACACGATACCCCAGACCCACCACCGGGAACCCCTTACATGGGCCGCCTTCCAACAAGACGTGGAGCTCGAATACCTCGCTGACTCGACCTAGACAAAGCGAAGAGATGACCCCAGCAAGGAGACTGACCTCAGGGGCAAGTTCTTCTTGCACACTCTTGGAGTCGGCAGAATTGCGACAATAACAGGGAGTCATCTGTTTTTCAAATGGCCCCGCGGTTCCCCCCAACCCCAGTCACCACAACCCTTCCCACACCCCCATACCCCCCAACTCCTCCCGTCATTCAGCGCCTCGCTTGTCTCCCCGTGAAGAGCAGTACCTGCCTGTGCCGGCAGGGGCAGGATTGGAACATGGACGTGGCCTCAGTTGCGGACGACAACGAGAGCGGCGCATTACAGGAAGCATCAACAGGGTGGACATCAAGGAGAGCATGGCACAGATTGGGGACTTAAAGGTGATGACAGACTGGCCCGGCTTGTGGCCCGTGGAGCCTTTGGCCCCCTGTTCCAGACCGAACTCCGGCAATCCATCCCTGGGGTCTCCCATCGAAGCCAGCTTATCCTGGCGCCAAGTCACACAGTGCGGTTTCGGGCCCGGCGTTTCCCGGGAAAACAAGAGTCTTTTGCCCCCCGACTGTTTTCGCACTGGAGCCGGGTCCGGTCATGCTTTGGAAACAAAGGACGTGGTGTGCATGGAAGAGAATGGATGGAAGCAGATGTTCGGTTCCGTCGAAGACTGAACGCTGGACGGNGAATGGATGGAAGCAGATGTTCGGTTCCGTCGAAGACTGAACGCTGGACGGTCGGCTGATTGTCCACTTTCGTGATTGACTGGTTGATTGACTGACACGTTGATTGCGTGCTGCTGCTGCTAGACCCGACTGCTTTGGAAACAAAGGACGTGGTGTGCATGGAAGGGAATGGATGGAAGCAGATGTTCGGTTCCGTCGAAGACTGAACGCTGGACGGCGGCTGATTGTCTACTTTCGTGATTGACTGACACGTTGATTGCGTGCTGCTGCGACAATGGCAATTAGATAGAACAAGGCATAGTCGGGGCACTCAAGAATAGTCGGTGCTTAGATTGCAGAATTTGCAGTTGCTTAGGACTGCAATGTGCAGATTAGCTGGTTTGCTGCATCTGGAAAGGGAGGAAGGTGACTAGGTAGTCAGGTTGATCAGGCGCCCAGCAGCAGGGCTGAAGAGCCCCCCCCTTCTTGTCAATTCCTCTCGCGTGCATCCTTTCACCTGCTCAGTCAATCCGCTGGTTTCAGGGTAATCAATGCTGGCAGGATGTCAGTGTGTTCAGATGCTGAATCATTCACAGGGATGCTGGACCCGTTTTCCAGCAGGTGTTGCTCCCCACCAATAGATCGGAGCAACCGGTCTACTCGCTAGAAGGGGGTGCGACCACCTCTTCTAGCGGACGGACTAGGAAAAAAAAAAAAAAAAAAGGGACTAGGGACTGGTTGTGAGGAGGAAAAAGGGGGAAAATTTTCAAAAAATACTCCGTTGGATCATGTTGATAGCATTTCATACCTATACCTACCCATGCAAGAATCGACCCCTTCACATTGACAGCATCAAAATCCTCCTTCCTTAGCTTTTGCGCAAACAATCCACTGCGATAACCAATTGTGCTGGTGAAGCAAGGCAAGATAGAGGACGACATGGGGGAAAAAAGGGGAAAAAATCCACAAAATCAGAAGAAGAAAAAAAATTGAGTGAGTGAAAGAAATTTCTATTACATATTGGTTGACTTGAAAATTTCAACTAGAAGAAAACTTCAGAGTTCATTAAAAAACTAGGCTAGCAGAGTGGCCCGGAGCCATTTGCCTGCCCGGGTGGGAAAAAAAAAAAAAAAAAAAAAAAAAGTAAAAAAAACCTATGTTACCAGTTGTCCAATGACAGGATCGTCTCCATTTTCAGCAGTTTAAAGCACGAAAAAAAGAAAACAAAATTGGGGGTGTCTTTATTCCTTTTTTTAATTTGATAAAGAATTTCGATGTGATCCCAAAGCAAAAGTTGTTCAGTTTATTTTTCTGCATAACATAGTTTTTTTTTGGTTTTTTTTTTTTTTTTTTTTGGTTTT